GGAGTTTTTCTCCCACTCTCCTGGTTGCTCCTCATACCTTTTATTATTCTTTCAAGCACAATATTAATCTATGCATTCAATACAGCACCTTATCACATCATTGAAGCTTCTCAAAGCATTTCATAGATTTATTTTAAAGTGAAGTGACTGTGTATTTTGTAGACAAACTGGGCAGCCAATTTGCACACAGCATCTATCTAATTCCTTTTTAAAATAATTTATGGACATTTACGCAAATGAGTCAACTACCACAACAACAACTTGCATTTATATAGCGTCCTTTACATGGGGTAGCATCCCCGAGTGCTTGACAGTGGCGGAGTCTGACTCTGAGACAGGGAGAGAGAAATGGGGGTGGTGACCATAAGCACAGTCAAAAAGGAAGGTCTTTAGACAGAATTTGAATGTGGGGAGGGAGTGGGCAAGGCAGAGGGATTGAGGGAGAGAGTTCCAGAGCTTCAGGGCGTAGTGGCTGAAGGCACGGCCATCGATGGTGGGGCGGAGGGCACGAGGGACGAACAGGAGGGTGGAGCCCACCTTAAGATTTATTAGCTTAAGAGTTGTTCCATTAAGACTTACATTTATATAATGTCTTTCCCATAAAAACACTTCTCAAAGTGTTTAACAGTTAGAGTGGTGGTAAGAAGAGTGACACATTTAGAAATGATCAAGTCATGGGTTTTATCAGGAGGTGTTTTGAAGATAGAAAGATAGGTAGAAAGACACAATGGTTCTCAAAGAGAGTTCTTATGGAAAGAAAATATAGGTGCTGAAGATAGAAGATAGTTATGAGTAACTTTAATTCCAGTAATCTAACTGCAAGGTAATCTAAGTTTCTTTGGATAATTGCTGTTGATAAAGATAAAAGAACAAAGTTTTAGAGACTTTTTCAGCATGCCTCGTTAACAATATACCTATTGTACATGTACATGTACATTCATATACATTCTTCTTACATAATTATTATCTTGACTCTAAAATATTTAGGTTGCTGATGTTGACAAAACAAAATAAAAAAAAGTTACTGATTTTCGTTTGAGTTTTCAGGTAGGTTTAGCCAGGCTTATTTTATCAGTCAAATCTCATCATTATTTATATACTTATATTTTTAATTGTGTTACTCCTGTCCACAAGACCTACACCCTCCATAAACACTGGATTTTGTCACACTCACAAATAGATGGATGAGACAGACATACATCAAATATTTTCTTTTACCTTTAGATTTCACAACAATAAAATGATCTGTGTGTTTCAACACGTTTCAGTATTTAACAGCTCAATGACTTAAAAACTATTCTTCTAACATACGGGCAGCTGGAGCTTCTGGTCTTGGATATTAAATGAAATGAAAAACATAGCTTTCTGGTGGATAAACCTCAGATTTAGAAGATTAAAAGGTAAAGAAAACACCCAAACAGTCATTTTTTGCTGCTTACGTAATCATATATACTCTACGGCAATCAAAGTCTTTGTACGAATTAAGTTGATTCTTTGAACCATTTATCACCCTATCCTTAGATTTTATTTTTTTTCCTAATTACAAATCTTTGACCTCAGAAAATAAGTGAGAAATGACTTAGAACGTGAAAAAGTATAGTGTCTGTAAGGATAATTTAAGTATAATTGACTCTTCAATTTCTTGGAACTTTGAACCATCCAATGCAGAGTTTATAACGTGCTTTGAGTTTACTAGTGTGTAAAAATAGTTGTCTTGTTTATCCATGATTCCTCTCTGGACACTCTTCTCTCACCCCCTCTTCATCTGCCCCCCAAGTTCACTCTCCCTCAGACCTGACTGCCTCTCATGATCTACTCCATCCCCTAATTCCAAAGGGATTGTCCCTAATTCTTGAGGCTAAGATTTCCCCACCCCATTTCTCACCAGTCTTGAAGAAAGAAAGGCATTTTATAGCACCTATCACATCAAACTATCTCACAAGTAATTGCCATTAACTGTATTTTTGCAATCTCCAATTTGCAGCAGCAAAGTCTCAAAAACAGCAAAGTAAATGACCAATTAATCACAAGGATTATTGACAGGATACAGAGAGACTCTCACTTCTCTTTTCAAATATTGTTTTCTTTAATGTCCATTTGGAAGCAAACAGGTGGGACCTCAGTTTACATCGCACACAAGCTGGAAAACATAGGAAAGAGTCCTGACTGAACTTGTATGAGTAGAGTACCATGGCTGAACAATAAGGGGAGTATTGAGATGAAGGGAATCAGACCTGTGTATGCTGATACATCTCTTTGTTCAGTAAAAGAGTATACCTGTATTTAAATAAAGTGATTTCTGCGCTATATGTTGTAACAACCTGAAGCACAATGAGCTCAAGCCCTAATTTGGGGCTTGAACCTTAACAACAACAACAACAACAAAATTAGATTTATAGAGCGCCTTTAATGTCGGGAAGATGTCCCAAAGCGCTAACGTTCTGAAGCAGAACCAAAACTGCTACCACTGTCCTGTAGCTTAGTGGTTAGAGCACTTGCTTCACAAGCAAGAGGACCTGGGTTCGAGTTCTGGCAGGGCGAAACGTTAAGCAAGTTTCCTTGCTCCACACGCCTCTGTTTACCTAGCAGTAAATAGGAATTCAGTTGTTAGTCAATTGGCAGATTGCTTTTCCAGGGGTAATAATTCCTTCAAAATAAATAAAAATAATTTGATCACTCAATCCATGACTGTTTGTGGGACTCTGCTGTGCGCAATTCGCTGCTGCATTTTGCCCACAAAAAAACACAGTTATTTTGCTTTACTGTATATTCTGTGAAGTGGTTTGAGACATCTCGAAGATGTGATAAGGTGCTATGTCAAATGCAAGGATTATTATTAATATTATTGAGCTAAGATAATGTAGATAGCGGGTCAAAACGTGCAAACTCTTTTATGAGCAGCAACCTGATAATTCACTAAAGAATGTGAAAATGTCAATTTTATTGAAGCAGATTGCTGTCTGCTTCAATAATTATCTTCTAGATAATTTGTTATTATGTTCCTATTATTTGATGAGTTGAAGTCTAGCATGGTTTCAAACACTTAGTGTAACACTCCCAATTTACTGGAATATACCCTGAAAGCATTACTTCCATTGTTGGGTGGATCTGCAAAATGTGACTTTATTATTGCATAAGTAATAATAATAATAATCCTTGGATTTGGTTAGAGCACTCGCCTCATAAGCGAGAAGACCTTGATTCGGTTCCCGGGCAGGGTGAAACCTTAGGCAAGTTTCCTTATTCCACACGCCTCTGTTTACCTAGCAGTAAATAGGAATCCGGCAGTTGTTAGTTGATTGGCAGATCGCTTTCTGGGGGTAATAACCCCTACAAAAAAATAATGTCCCACAAACAACCGTGGATTGAGCAACCAATTGTATTTAGGGGATTGTTGACCAGGACACCGGGAGAAATTCCCTTCTCTTTTTCGAGTAGTGTCATGCCCTTGCCTGGTTCGATTCCTATCTCTCTCATCGTCTCCACTTTGTTGCCTCTAACAGTTTCTCCTCCAGCCCCCACACTGTCACGTCTGCCGTCCCCCAGGGCTCTGTCCTTGGCCCTCTCCTCTTTAATATCTACATGCTCCCCCTTGGTGACATCATCCGCAGACATGGGGTCAACTTCCACATGTATGCGGATGACACCCAACTCTATCTTTCTGCCTCCACCCTCAACTCCAGGACCACTGCTGTCCTGACAGACTGCCTGTCGGACATCAAGTCCTGGATGAGGGCAAATTTCCTACAGTTGAATGTGAACAAGACTGAGGCCCTCCTGATTGGCTCGCACCAGTGCCGCAGCACCTCAGGCTCTGGCAACATCAACCTCCATGGCTGCACACTTCAACTCACCAAGCCAGTCAGGAACCTCGGTGTCTTGTTCAACCCTCAACTGTCTTTTCTTCCCCACATCCAAGCCATGACCCATTCTGCCTTCCCTCACCTCCATACCATCACCTGACTCCGCCACTACCTCACCCTTCAGGCCATTGAAACTCTTGTTCGTGCCTTCATCACCTCCAGGCTCGACTATGCAAACTCCCTGCTTGTCGGTCTTCCCAACTCCTCCCTCCACAGGCTGCAGATAATCCAGAACTCTCCAGCCCGTCTCCTCTCCTGCACCAAACTCTATGACCCCATCTCCCCACATTCTCGCCCGACTCCACTGGCTCCCTATCCTTCAGAGGATCCAGTTCAAGATCCTGGTCCTCACCTAGAAAGCCCTCCATGGCCTCACCCCACCCTACCTCTGTGACTTCCTAACCCCCTACCAACCCGCCCGCTCCCTCCGCTCAGTTGGCTCTGGTCTGCTTCACGTCCCCAGACCCACCCGCCCCATCATTGGCGGGAGAGCCTTCAGCCACTCTGCCCCCAACCTCTGGATCTCCATCCCCCAGTCACTCCGCACTCCGCGAGAGACCTGAGTTCAATCCCCGGCAGGTCAGGGCCAAACCTTGGGCAAGTTTCCTTACTCCACACAAGAGCCCTAATAATAATCCCTCCAAAAAAAACCCAAAACAATAATAAATTGGTTGTTTTCAATCCACGACGGTTTGTGGGACATTGCTGTGCGCAATCGGCCGCCGCGTTCGCCCACAAATATACAGTCAGTTCACTTTAGGGTGTGTTCTGCGAAGCGCTTTGGGACGTCCTCCCGACGTGAAAAGCGCTATATCAAATGCGAGGATTATTATTATTATTACTATTATTATTATTATTATTATTATTTATTATTATTATTATTATTATTACAGGAGGGAGGGGGCGCCAGTGAGCAGAGCTGCAGTGATGGGCGGGGCGGGGGCGGGGCGTGGGACAGACACATGGACAATAGGGAGGGGGCGTGGCGGGGGGAGGAGACGCGCTCACGTCACGGGGGGGGGCGGGGCAGCGTCTCGCTGGGGTTTGATTGACAGCGGTCCCCGGCGACAGTGCAACAAAGCGGCGCCGTGTGCGGAGCGGAGCTGAGCGGAGAGGTGCAGTGCAGCGGCGGCGGCCATGTACCCCCCGGGGCTGCCCAGCCCGGGGCTGCTCTGCTGCCTGTTGGTGTCCGCAGTCCGGCTCGTGTGGGGAGGTGAGCGGTTGCAGTCCGGCTGCTGAAAAAGGGGACTGGGAAGGCAGTATCCCCCCTCCCCTCTCTCTCTCCCCTCTCTCTCTCCCCTCTCTCCCCCTCTCTCTCCCCCTCTCTCTCTCCCCTCTCTCTCTCCCCCCTCTCTCCCCCCTCTCTCCCTCTCCTCTCCCCCCTCTCTCCCCTCTCCTCTCCCCCCTCTCTCTCTCCCCTCTCTCTCTCTCTCCCCTCTCTCCCTCCGCCCTCTCCTCCTCTCTCTGCCCCCTCTCTCCCCTCTCTCTCCCCTCTCCTCTCCCCCCTCTCCTCTCCCCCCTCCCCTCTCTCCCCCTCTCTCTCCCCTCTCCCCCCTCTCCCCCCTCCCCCCCCTCTCTCTCCCCTCGCTCCTCTCCCCCCTCTCTCTCCCCTCTCTCCCCCCCTCCTCTCTCCCCTCCCCTCTCCCCTATCTCTCTCCCCTCTCCCCCCTCCTCTCTCCCCCTCCTCTCCCCCCTCCCCTCTCCTCCCCTCTCTCTCCCCCCTCTCTCTCCCCTCTCCTCTCCCCCCTCTCTCTCCCTCCTCTCTCCCCCCTCCCTCTCCCCTCTCTCCTCTCTCCCCCTCTCTCCCCCCTCCTCTCTCCCCTCCCTCCCTCTCCCCCTCTCTCTCCCCCCCTCCTCTCCCCCCACTTTCCATGGCTCCAAAAAAAAAAGGTCCCCTTTTGCAAAGCGACTCCACCGAACGATTTTTGTTCGGTGTTTCTGTTTTTTTTTTCCTCCTCCCTCCTCCCTCCTCCCTCCTCTCCTCCTCCTCCCTCCTCCCTCCTCTCCTCCTCCTCCCTCCTCTCCTCCCTCCTCCCCCCCTCCTCCCTCCGTTGCGCTGTCGTTCACTTTGTTTTTATTTCCAGCGCATTGACTTCCAAAGTTGCGCGTTCGCCATCCGTGTGTCAGGGTCGCCCTCGAACCCCCCCCACACCCCCACACACACACCACCCCATCACCACCCCTCCTCCCTCCCTCCATCCCTCCCCCTCTGCTTTAAAGGTCGAAAGGATTTGGGACAGTTGTTGTGTTTGTGGATGGATCGCTGTTGAGCAGCAGAAGGAGTCGGTGCAGTCGGGAAGGTTTATTGGTGACGACAATGTTCTGATTGATTCAGTCAGGAATGAAGGTTGTGCTGCAGCAGCAGTTTGCAGTGAAGTTTCCAGTGGATTTCAACGTGTGCCGTTGCACGACAGTAAAATAGAGACTGTGCCACAACCAGTCTCTGCGTCCTTTCCCTCCGCTGTATGTCTCTGTGACACCTGCTCGTGGTTTGCTGCAATGCTCCCAATGTCAGTTGATCCAATGCATCCAAGATTTTCCCTATAGCTGTGTGCATTGTGACAATAACAGTTGTGGAATTTGACCTTTTACATCATGAGCACAGCTCAAAAGCGCTTCCCAAGGATTTACCTTAAGATGCAGTCACTGTTTTGCAGGGTTAGCATATTATTCCTTGGATTCACTGCCGCTGGGTAGTGAGGTTTGAGTGGTAAGACGTGCTCCCATTTGCGGCAAATCTGACATGCTCTATGACATCTTTCGGACAAATCTGTGAGGCGAGTGTTTTACAGCTTACAGTTGAACATTGAGGATTACACAAGACAAGCGGAGCCAACGTGTAGGGTTTTTCATTGTATTTTATGGAGTCATGCCTCACAGTTGTGCTAACATGGTTCAGGGCACATGACTACTTTAGTTTTAGAAACCAGCAAAATAAAGCTAAAAAACTCATTAAGAGCGAGAAAAAGGAGTATGAGGGTAAGCGAGCCAGGAACATTAAGTCTGATTGTAAAAGTTTTTATAAATATATTGAGAGGAATAGCCTCGTGAGGGTAAATGTAGGTCCACTACAGTCAGAGACGGGAGAAGTTGTAATGGGGGACAAGGACATGGCAGAGTCCCTAAATGGGTACTTTGCATCTGTCTTCACATTAGAAGACACAACAAGTCTGCCAACAATAGAGATGCACCAAAGGGATAAGGACAGGGAGCAACTTAGGGAAATTTTCATGAGTAGAGAATTGGTGCTAGGGAAACTGTTAGCACTAAAAGGTGACAAATCCCCTGGTCCGGATGACTTGCATCCCAAGGTTTTAAAAGAGGTAGCTTATGAGATAGTGGAGGCCTTATGTCTGATCTTCCAAAATTCCTTGGATTCTGGAACAGTCCCCATGGATTGGAAGATCGCAAATGTTACACCACTATTTAAAAAAGGTGGAAAGGAAAAGATGGGGAACTATAGGCCAGTTATTCTCACATCAGTGATAGGAAAAAAATTAGAATCGTTGATTAAGGATGTGGTAGTGCAGTATTTAGAGGAGCACAATATAATTAGGCCAAGTCAACATGGCTTTACAAAAGGGAAGTCATGTTTGACAAATCTCATAGAGTTTTTTGAGGACATTTCCAGTAAACTAGATAAGGGTGAATCAGTGGATGTGGTCTATTTGGACTTCCAGAAGGCATTCGATAAGGTGCCGCATAAAAGGTTAGTCCAAAAAATAAGGGTCCATGGAATTGGGGGGAGCATATTAACGTGGATTGAGGAATGGTTAACGGATAGGAAACAAAGAGTAGGGCGGGATGGGATCAGTCCTTGGGCCTCAGGTATTTACCATCTACATCAACGATCTAGATGAGGACATCGAAGTTAATATATCTAAATTCGCGGATGACACAAAACTAGGAGGAAGTGTCAACACAGAGGACAACATTAAAAGAATACAGCGAGACATAGATAGGTTAGGTGATTGGGCAGGTAGGTGGCAGATGAAGTATAATGTAGGGAAGTGCGAAGTCATCCACCTAGGTAGCAAAAACAGTAGAGCGGGTTATTTTTTAGAAGGGGAGAGATTGGAATGTGTTTGCGTTCAGAGGGACTTGGGTGTCCTTGTACACCAATCACAGAAAGTTAGTCTGCAGGTGCAGCAGCAATTAGGAAGGCAAACGGTATGTTAGCATTCATTATGAAAGGATTAGAGTATAAGAGTAGGGAAGTCTTGCTGCAACTGTATAGGGCCCTGGTGAGACCACACCTGGAATACTGTGTCCAGTTTTGGTCTCCTCATTTAAGGAAGGATGTACTCGTCTTGGAGGGGGTGCAGCGTAGATTTACTAGGTTAGTGCCAGCGATGAAGGAGATGAGTTATGAGGATAGGCTGACCAATTTGGGCCTATATTCTCTAGAATATTAGAGTCCTGTAGCTCAGTGGTTAGAGCACTTGCTTTGCAAGTGAGAGACCTGAGTTCAATTCCAGGCAGGGCGAAACCTTGGGCAAGTTTCCTTACTCCACACGTATAATAATAATCCCTCCAAAACTAAAAACAATAATAAAAAAAATTGGTCATTTTCAATCTACGACTGTTTGTGGGACATTGCTGTGCGCAATTGGCTGCCGCGTTTGCCCACAAATATACAGTCAATTCACTTTACAGTGTGTTCTGTGAAGCGCTTTGGGACGTCCTCCCGACGTGAAAAGTGCTATATCAAATGCAAGGATTATTAATATAGAAGCATTAGAGGGGATCTTATAGAAACCTATAAGATTATCAAAGGGCATGATAGAGTAGATAGTGGGAGATTGTTTCCCCTGGTTGGAGAAACTAAAACCAGGGGTCACAACCTTAAAATCAGAGGCAGCCCTTTCACACTGAGTTGAGGAAGAACTTCTTCACTCAAAGGGTGGTGAATGTATGGAACTCACTACCCCAAAGGGCTGTTGACACTCAGTCCTTGAACATATTCAAGACTGAGATAGATTTCTTATTGCAAAAGGGATTAAGGGATATGGGGATAAGGCAGGGTCAGGTTATTAGCTGGAGGTAGATTAGAAGATCAGCCATGATTGAATGGCGGGGCAGGCTCGAAGGGCCGAATGGTCTATTCCTGCTCCTACATGTTATGGTACTATAGACTTAAGGCTAATATTACCCATATTTTCAGATGTTTCATATTAATTAAGGGATTGGACTATTCTAATTGATCCTAACATCCTTTTAGATGTCAATACCGGCAATCTCTTCCATGAAATATCCCAGAATCGCTCAAAGACCTGAATCCTTTATGAATATCTTCAGACAAATATCATTTCAATAAACATCAATTTGGTCGACGGGGGAAGATTGAACAGGAAAGTGTACTGCTCTTTGAAGTAGTGTCATGGAATTTCTAACATTCACCAGAATGCAATTTCTGTTTAACATTTAATCTCAAACATGCCATCTCGGACAATGCAGCTCCTTCAGTAGTACATTGGAATGTCAATCTAGATTATGAACTCCTAACTACCTTTGTGGATAACATGAATCAAACTCCTTCCCTTCTTGCTTGATTTGCCATTCATTGTCACAGAAAATAAATTTATTGTCCTCTACATCTGTGTCCACTAATTCACATTTCAACTAATCCTAGAATCAGGAGAACATTTCACGCATAAACATTTAACATGTTAGTGATGGAATGGCTCCAAATCCTCACATAATCTTCACATTCCCAGTGTATGTTAAGTTTATGTTCTTTATGTTCAGACTTTTTGCTGAACTTATCAGTAAATAAACATCTATTGTCTACAATAAATTTGATTATTTGTGTATGAAAATTCAGTATAATTAATGACCTAATAAATCAAGATAGAAGAAGGGAAGGCTCCAGAAAGTACTTTGAAAGAAAGTATTTATGAAAGAAAGTACTCCCCCAGACACTGCGCATTCTTAAATATTCAGGTTAGTCTTCTGTTCTAGTTTGGAGTTGCATTGGATACACTGATTTACAGAGGCAGCTATTAAGCAGTGGAATTCCACTGCTGGTTGATACAGCTACAGTATTTGCTGAGCCAGTGGCAGCCTTTCACAGTTTGAGTACTTCCAGTTCAGTATCTAGGTTGTTCAAAGGTTGCTTTCACATTTCCAATGGAATGACTTACTTGGGAATATAAAATATTTTGTCTGCATACGGGGCAGGTTACATTGGCTGATTGATCCTTGCAGAAGTGAGTTGCAGAGTAACATGTGAACAGAATTAGGCTGCACTCTGTTTTGGCTGCAGTTTATTATTGAAGATTATTACATTTTAAAGCATTTTTAAAATTGAAGTTTTTAAAGTTAGCGTAGCTAGAGCAGTTAACTACTGAACATACTGTAAATATGTTTCTGCCCTGGAGTTCTACTTATTGTTCTGCGAAGGGGGGCTGTGATTTTCAAAATTAATTTTGCTCCAAGTTCTGACCTATTTTTAGGACTCTTTCCAACAGGACAGTTGAGGATTACGGATGTCTCACCTAATTGTGATAAGTCTGGGATATATGCATAACAGTTTGAGATCTAGAGCGTGAATTTGGAATTTGACATAATTATTTCACATCCTCAAACATCTTATAATAGCCATTACTTGGCGGAAAAACATTTTGGTGAACAACATTTTGACAGTTTTTTAATTTTGGATTGCTCTAATGCTGATCTAATGATGGAGGAACTAGTCTTTTCATTCACAAATGTTTGTAGGATTCCGTTCTCAATAATTTGTGAACATCTTTCAATGAAAATCGTGCTTGCGGCATTTTATTTCACTGTCTGCAGATTTGGCAGCATGTCCCTTGTCTAAACATGTTTTTTGAGAGTATTTACATTCCAGCAATGTGGTGGATGTTCTTTCTTCAAGATACATTAGTTTATAAGTTTGATTAATGTAGTGCTGCTTTTCCATATTACAATATCTTTCCTTTTTTATACCTCGTATTGCAGTTCTCTTTAAGAAAAATAATGCGGCAAAATAATTGGGCATCCATAATGAACAGAATCAGAACATAGGAACAGAAGTAGGCCATTCAGTCCCTTGAGCCTGTTCAGCCATTCGTTTAGATTGTGGCTGATCTGTACCTCAACTACAATTACCCACCTTTATACCTTATCCCTCGATACCCTGACCTAACAAAAATCTATTCAGTTCAGTCATGGAAAATTTGAATGGACCCAGCATCCACAAACTTTGGGGGAGAGAGTTCCAGATTTCCACTACCCGTTGCGTGAATAAATGCTTCCTGATTTCACTCCTAAATGGCCCAGCTCTAATTTTAAGATGTTGCCCCCTTGTTCTGGATTCCTTCACCAAAGGAAATAGTTTCTCTTTAGCTATCTTATCAAATCCCTTCATCAGTTTTAATCACCCTGGTCAGAAGATTCAGTCAATTCAAGAGATCTTGAAAGGATACATATATAAACACACATAGGAAGTAAAAAAAAGGAGGGACAAATACTCCATGGATTATTTGAGCACTCTGAGACTATAAATGCACATTGTTGTTGATCTAGAACAAGCTTTCAGGGTTATGGGGAGAGCGCGGGGATGGGATTGAATTGGATAGCTCTTATCAAAAAGCTGGTACAGACACGATGGGCCGAAAGGCCTCCTTCTGTGTTGTGTATTTCTATGATTCTCTCTATAGTGCTCTGTTCACGTTTCACCTGGTATACTGCATACAATTCAGGTCGGCACAATATAAGGGGGCTGCCCAGGCCTAGAGATAGTATAGAGAAGAGCAACAAACTTGAACTGTTATTAACTATTTACAAACTAGAGCTTTTCAGTCTTCAAAAGAGACATCTCTATAATAATAAATATAATAATAAATTCAATCCATGACTGTTTGTGGGACACTGCTGTGTGCAATTGGCTGCCACATTTCGCCCACCAAATATGCAGTCAATTCAATTTACAGTATATTCTGTGAAGTGCTTTGAGACGTCTCAAAGACGTGATATCAAATGCAAGGATTAGTATTATTATCTCAATAATATACACCTCATAGAGGTGTATAAGATTTTAAATCTGTTTGCTGTTAGCTCTTTTATTAAATGCAAATGTAACGCACATTGAAAGTAGTTCTCCATGAAGAAAAAATGAACATTTTTTAAAAATCAGAATTTTCATAGAACAGTAACAACTTGGACTTATATAGCGCCCTCCATGCAGGGTGGCATCTCAGAGCGCTTAAAACCATTGATTATTACAGCACAGAAGGAAGTCATTCAGTCCATCATGCCTGTGCCGGCTCTTTGAAAGAGCTATCCAACTCCCCCCCCCCCCCCGCTTTTACTCCATAGCCCTGCAAATGTTTCCAAATTCCCTTTTGAAAGCTACTATGGATTAGTTGTGTGCATATGTGACAGCAGGTTGAAGAGAGGCGCAGGCTCGGCTGTGACTCCTTCTACAGTTAAGTGACCTGCTGACACTCACCTCCAGGCTCGCATGTGAACAATGGCCGCTTGAGTAGAAACCCTGAGGTCAAACAGTACTCATTGAACTGTATTCCAGCATAAGGAGGCCAGATAGGAGCAGAGGCACATTGCTAATGGGCAGAAATAATAGATAAAAGACCCCATGAAAGTTTACAAAATATCTCAAATTGTACACTGTGAAGCATCCTTTTAGATTTGGGGTTTTCTTAAATACTGACTACTTGAAAGGATTTCTTCAACAATATAGTATAGTTTGGAGTAAAATATTCAAGCATATTTAGCTAATTGTCAGATAGTTTGCATTTATTTTTCAGCTTTTAATTGGGTGAAGTTTGTCATGTCAGTTCCATCACTGATGCTTATTTAGGATGTCCTCCCGTCATGAAAGGCACTATACAAATGTAATCTTGTTGTTAGTAAACATTTCAGCAAATCCCTACGTTAAGTGAAAATGAGTCAAATCTGACACTCGGTCCATTAGGTCTGCGCTGGTGATTTTCTTTTCTTTATCAACCATTTATCTAATTCCTTGTTAAAGGAATTTCTGGACTCTGATTCAACTGTTTTGCTTTTGGCAAAGAATTCCACATTCCAACCACTCTCCTTCTGAAGAACAATTACACTCATTAATTCTTAGGAGCTTTGCTTAATTTGAGGTGACTATTGGTTCGTTGGTATGTTGGACAATGACTTGATTTTATTGGAGCTCCAGGAAAGAGCAGATATCACCTGGAGGCCTAACTTCAGCTTCACTAAGGTGTGTACTTTGTTCCAAATAGACTTCATTAACCACTTCAGTTTTGAAAGCCAGCGCCAATGTTTAGTGTCTCGCTATTTGGCTACAAATATTCCGTCACTACACCTCGTGGTAAATTTTGAAGCACATTGAGACATTTTGATGACGTTATACAGCGTTATATCGAATGCAAGGATTATCATTATTTTCAGCACCCAAGCAACTGGCAATCCATTATAGTCAGGTGCATGTGTAACCTAAACGAATTACAAGTCCTTCATTTTGGTTTCAGTGCCACTGATTTATCAACAGTGGTACGTAGGGAGTTTTGGCCCACATGTTGGTGCCACTAATACTTGTTTTTCTAAATCGCCTTTCAAAAGTAGTACTGTGAATCTTGGAATGTTATTTGTGGTTTGATCGATTTATCTTATTATATTGACCAGAGTTCCAAATAGTGCTGTCATTACTCTGTGCAAAACATTTTATGGTGTTTGTGGTTTCTCTTTATTTCAGCGTCATTTTGGGGAGAGAGCTATGTGGAACTTAAAACAGTGGAAGCCTCCAGCAAGACATCGTTCAGATTACGATTCCTTACCATAAAATCAAATGGACTGCTTTTCCTTGCAGCTGGGCAAACAGATTTCTGGTTGGTGGAGCTCCAGTCAGGGCATGTGCAGGTATGCTGATTTAAAACATTTTTTAAAAATCTCTTGATCGATTGTGAAAATATGAGTGATTATAATTAAAGTGCAGCATAGATAATTTTCTGGAACATCTTAGCTGGTTATTTTGAATTTTTCTTACAGCAATTTTTTTGTACCCATCCACGGCCATGTGATGAAATGGATTTCTTTACCACAGTATTCCTGTTATGCTACACATAAACTCCTTAGTTAGGTAAAGCATGGACAGAATAGCAGATTTTTCTCCGTTCTGCCTTGAAAATGCTCCTCAACTCCCATCTCAAAAGATTGTCCTTTTCTCTCGTCAGCCGTTCCTTTGGTAACACAGCATTCCAGTCATTCTTTTGATATAGCTAAGACTGCAATTTTAGTTGTAGCTCCAGCAGGTCAGCTGGGTGTATTATCAGATAACCAATGCCATACAAAACAACAATAAACTTACATTTGTACAGTGCCTTTCACATCGGGAGGACGTCCCAAGACGCTGGACAGTCAGTGTTTCAGACCGAGCTGGGGGTCGGGATCGGGGAGGGTGGAGGGCAGGGGGGAAGGAGGGTGACTGAAGGCTCGGTCGAAGAGGAGGGTCTTGAAGCAGGCAAGGGAGGGGGCGAGGGAGAGGAACTGCGGAATGGAGTTCCAGAAGGTGGGGGCAGAGTAGCAGAAGCCCCCCCTGCCATTGGTGGGACTGGCGAGGTAGGGGACGTGAAGCAGGCCAGAGCCCGCTGAGCGATAGGAGCAGGCCAGTTGGTAGGGGTTAGAAGGGCACAGAGGTAGGAGGGAGCAAGGCCATGGAGAGCTTTGAAGGTGAGGACCAGGATCTTGAACTATATCCTCTATGTGATGGGAAGCCAGTAGTCGGGCGAGGATGAGGGTGATAGGGTCACGGAGCCCGGTGCGGGAGAGGCCACGGGCTGCAGAGTTCTGGATGATCTGCAGCCTATGGAGGGAGGAGTTGAGGAGGTTGACAAGCAAGGAGTTTGCGTAGTCAAGCCTGGATGTTATGAATGCGTGTATGAGGGTCTTGGCTGCCTGCGGTGTGAGACAGTGGCGGAGCTGGGCAATGTTGCGGCTGATAATGAATGATGCATTATCAGATAGCGGTTGCCATACAAAAGTAGTAATAAAGTAGTAGTAATAATAATAATAATAATAATAATCCTTGCATTTGATATAGCGCTTTTCACGTCAGGAGGACGTCCCAAAGCGCTTCACAGAACACACTGTAAAGTGAATTGACTGTATATTTGTGGGCGAACGCGGCAGCCAATTGCGCACAGCAATGTCCCACAAACAGTCGTAGATTGAAAATGACCAATTTAATTATTGTTTTTGGTTTTTTGGAGGGATTATTATTAGGCGTGTGGAGTAAGGAAACTTGCCCAAGGTTTCGCCCTGCCTGGAATTGAACTCAGGTCTCTCACTTGCAAAGCGAGTGCTCTAACCACTGAGCTACAGGACTCCACGTAGTACCAGCTGACCCACAAAAATTGTAATCAGTCCTGAATTATGCATAGTTATGTGCAAGGAAGTGAGTTGACTGTGCCTTGTAGAGCGTTTGCAGTCAGTGGAGATAAACCTTCATATCATCATTTTGGACTGAAATTGAATCCAGTTTTCAGATGTGAAAAGAAGTCATGTAAACCCAAAGTGTTTCCATTGAATGTTAATGAACTTATATTGGAAATCTCATAACTACATTAAATTAAAATTCTTCTTTCTGGATGTGTATTTTGTTTTTTTTTGCAACTTTTCTTCCCTTGCACTCTCCTGAAGACGTTTAATCTATTTTGCTTCTACTGCGGTACAGTTCATTGAGAAGTAGACTATTTTGACCCAGTGGCCATGTAAGCCTTGACTGTGAACATTGACAGTCCATTCAACTAAATTTCACCTTGACTTAGCCTTAAGTCCATTGTCATTCAAACTTAATATGTTGTAGAATTTTGGGGGAAAGATTAAATCTATGTTAATTTGGAAGATGGTTTTCTGCTGAGTTTGCCTAATGGGTACATTGCGTGTGGCAGTAATTATGTTTCAACTAAGATGCTATAAATTGCAAATTTAAAATTCTTTATTTCTTGTTCAAATGTTCTCATCTTTTGTTCTTGTTCTCATCCAAAACTCTGCAACTCGTGTACTCTCGCGCACCAGGCTCCGTGACCCCATCACTCCCACCCTCGCCCGAATCCACTGGCTCCCCATCCCTCAAAGGATCGAATACAAGATCTTTGTCCTCACTTTCAAGGCCATCCATAGCCTTGCCCCCTCCTACCTCTCTGATCTGCTGACTCCCTACCAACCTGCCCGCTCCCTCCGTTCAGTGGGCTCCGGCCTGCTCCATGTCTCCCGCCCGACCCGCTCTACCATCGGTGGCCGGGCTTTCATCCTCTCTGCCCCCACGCTCTGGAACTCCATCCTACGGTCCCTTCGCCTCGCTTCCTCCTTCAAGGCCGGTCTCAAGACCCTTCTTTTCAATCCAGCGCTTTCATGTCCTCCCGACGTGAAAGGCACTCTATAAATGTAATTTTGTTGTTGTTGTTGATCGTGCCTTTGGTCGCCCTCTCACCTCTTTGCCTTCCCTCACCCCTACACTGACTGGTCAGTGCTTTGGGACATCCTCCCGACGTGAAAAGCGCTCTATAAATGTAATTTTGTTGTTGTTGTTGTTGGATTTTGCTTTTTTATGGTAAGGAATTCTAGTAACTTGACATAACAAGTCTCAAGAGGAGTTGAGGGGAAAATTCTTAAACGTGAGCAGCTGCAGCTATACCAGAAACATGATCCTACTATCTCTATTTTTAAATCTTTATGGACTTTGTTCTGGAGCTAAAGATTTTAACTGTGGGTGTATGAGAAATCAGTGATTTCGTCCAGTGATTTTATCACATTTCATTAATGATGCATGCTGTGAATTCCTTGAATTATTGGAATGCGATTTTGTTTACAATTGTAAAACCAACCTTTGAAAGTTGCTCGGCTGGAATAGTTCATTAGTGAGTGAGACACTGTCGTAAAGCAGCACAAGGAACCCAAGCACCCAGCTAGTCAGATCCACATCAAATCTTACGGGCTCAGCCTTTGCACTAGGTCTGGAGAGCAGCAGCTGCAGTCTAGACACCAGCGCAGTCACATTATTGTTTGTTTAAGAAAAAAATCAAAGGCATAAAGTTAATTGTTAGAATTGTTAGTTGTTAAATTGTTAGAAAAAGTGGTACGTAGAAATTGCTAGACAAAAAAAGACAAGATCCATCTAGTTCATCTTCTAAAATCCTGATAGTCTCATGCTGCAATAACAGAGACCGTTGGATAAAGAAACCCATTTATCCAAGCTTCATGAGCAGCAGGAAATGATTTTATGTTGAGATGAATTTGCATCCTTTTTTTAATATATATATATATATATTTGGAACTTTGTTTTCTGTTTATAAAACTGTGACATGTTACACTGGAGTATTTCTTTAAAGACCAAAAGTTGTGTTTTACATAAATGCAGGAAACCAGAGACAAACCATGCAGAACCTAGTGGGCAGTGGCCTTGTAAATACAGATGGATTTCTAGCTGCAATCTTGACCAAATTGGGTAATTGTTAATTGTGAGTGGGCATTATACCTTTGGGCAGTTTAAAAGGTGTAATCTACATTAGATTGCTTCAGTTCGAAGTTCAAAGACAAGTATGAAAATCACAGTTGCCTTTGTGACTCAACTTTGCTGACTAATTCTCAGAGGGTTATTATCCTGGACGTTGAAATGGGCTACATATTATCAATGGATTTATCAAGTACTCCAAGATACTACCTGTGTAAAGCATGCTATATATATTATTGAAGAATTTTAGATTGAACACATCAGCAGATCCATGCATAGACAAAATATGTTTCTCCCACGAAATACGCAGTCATTACACATTACAATATATTCTTTGAAGCGCTTTGAGACGTCTCAACATTGTGATAAGACGCTATATCAAATGCAAGAATTATTACTCTTATTATAGACAAAGACAAAACTTTGTATCTGTTAAACAAATAATTTCTTTTTTAAATTGTTTCATTGTTAGGTGAAACTGGAGTTTGGTTCTGGAGAGAGGAGTCTTCGCTCTGACAGAGGTTTAAGGCTAGATGATCTGGCCTGGCACACACTTGAAATACACCACGAAAGGGAAAATGTCACCTTGAGAATGGATGGGCAGTTCACGAGCAGTGTGAATATGCCGGGACCTTCTCGTGAACTTAACCTTCAACACGGTCTTTTTGTCGGTGGAATTGGCGGATTTGACAAACCGTATCTTGATGGGGCAGCGAGTAACTTTCGCGGTTGCATCGATGAAGTGGTTTTCAACCAGCACGACATCTTGTCATCTTTAAGATCTTACTCTGGTTTCAAAAACGTACACGAAGTTTCAGCAGGGTGCAGCAACCAGTTCTTTGCTGAGGATGATAGCCCGATCAGCTTGTTTAGTTCCAAAGCATACCTCGCGTTCCCTTCCTGGAACGCACAAGCAGAGGGGTTGTTTGAATGTGCTGTTCGCACTACGGCATCACTCGGTCTGTTACTGTACAGCTCCGGGCGGCAAGGAGATTTTGTTGCTATGGAGATTGGGGAGGGGTTGATTCGAGTTGTTGTTGGAAAAACTGGAAGAAAAACCCGCCTCTCCTCCCTTAGTGAAGTCAATGACAATAACTGGCATTCTGTTAAGCTGCGATTTACATCCAGGCATCTTTACCTTACTGTGGATGAAGAGATGGTGAAGGTTACCCTGAGTCCCCGCAACAAGATCCTTAAGCTGAAGGGCCCTCTGTTTGTTGGTGGTATAGATGACAGCACTCGTGCAGAGGTGGTGGAAATTGGTCTTATGTCCCTCGCAGGACGAAAAGTAAGAGGAGGTTCCTTCAGAGGCTGTATACAAGATGTGAGTGCTAATTCAGAGACTAAAAGCTTAAAGAACGTGCTAGTTACAAAAGACATTTCTGCTGGGTGTGCATCAGCAAAGGAGAGCCCGACCACTTTGATAGCAACGACACCCGAGAAGACGGTTATTCCAACGACCGCAATCCCCACTACGTTTACCACTTTGACAACGGTCAAACCTACTGAAAAGACGCAAACCAGTAATTTCCTCACTCTCCAAAATCTAGTAGTTGCAGAAGGAGGGCGTGCAGCCCTCGAATCTAAACACATAAAATTGAAACTCGACTTTAAGAAATTGGGAGTTCGCCAGTCACAAATAATCTTCAAGATAACCAAGCAGCCAACCCATGGGAAACTCAAATTGGATGTTAGTTCAGAGCGTGAACAGAATTCCTTCACCATGTTGGACCTGTGGCATGGAAGAGCTTTGTATGTACATGATGGATCTGAGGGTTCCCATGATCAGTTTTCATTTGCTATTTTTACCAGCAGTAAGAAAGCGGCCCCAGCATACCTGAGAGGAGAAGAGCAATACCAATTTAATATTACTGTTACTCCAACCAACGATCCTCCTCAGCTGGTGCTTCCCAAAGGAAACTTGTTTGTTTTACTGGAGAACTCCAAGAAACTTCTTACAGCTGATGTGATTAAAGCTGTTGATGTTGACACAGATTCTGCAGCGCTTCAGTTCTCAGTTTTGGGCAACCTTAATGCGGACGCTGGATATTTGGAAAATGCCAAGAATCCTGGTAAACGTATAACTGTGTTCTCCAACGCTGAGTTGGAAATGGGGAATGTGTTTTATGTCCACAATGGCATTCGGACTTCAAGAATTGTTCTGCGTGTCAATGACAGTGATAGTGTGAGTAACACTGTGGTGTTGCGGATAATGGCTGTACCAGTGGATTATAAAGTGGTCAATATGACGGGTCTTTCAGTACAACAGGGTGATGTTGTCCTGATCACTAATTACAATCTCTCAGTGCAGACAAATGCAGTCGGGCAGGAAGTAGACATTCGCTATGATATCACTGAGGCCCCAAAATACGGCCATATTCAAAGGCTGCACTCTAGCGGTGATTGGAAACAAACTAGTTCTTTTTCACAACGGTCAATCGAGCGAAACCGGGTTCGATACATCAGCACGTTCCGTGAACCCCAGTCTCACAAGGCAAACGACAAGTTCAGATTTAAAGTTAGTGTAGGGAACGAGGTAAGCAAAGAGCTCGTCTTCCCCATTGTGGTGAAATGGATCAATTTTAGACTCCTCAAAAATAATCGGTTAGAGATCGATAAAGTGAAGAAACAAGCTCTGGACTCTGATCACCTCTATGCTATGATTGAAGGAGCTAGAGTCTCTGAAAGTGGATTGCACTACAAGTTGGTGAGCACCCCTGAAAAAGGACATCTCCTGCTGCAAGGTGAGATTTTAAAGAAAAACTCATCTTTCAGTCAGAAGGACGTATCTGCCCACAAGGTGGAATATGAACTTATTGAGAAACCTCTTGAGGATGGGGAGGATTCCTTCAGCTTTCAGCTTTCTTTCAAGCAGGCAGTGTCGATCATACATGGTTTCCACATACTCATCAAAGCTGATGTTAACAGCATTATTTTGACAAATAGAGGCCTTACAGTGGCTGAAGGAGAGGGAAAACTGATAACCCAGGCAGAATTATATGCAGAAACATTAAACACAAAAACATTTTTGTACACTATCATCCAGAGCCCAAAGTCTGGCAAGTTGAAACGCATAAATCGCTCGGATTCAGCTGATAGCAATGACAACATAACCACTTTTACTAACCAAGATATCATTGGAGAACGCCTCATGTATGTGCATGATGACTCTGAGTCCACACGTGATGAGTTCAGGTTCATAGCTTCTGCTGGAGGGAGCACGGACAATTCAGAAGCCGACTCTTTTGACTTAAACTCTGTTGTGGGAACATTTCTCATATCTATTGAATTAAAAAACGATGAGAAACCAGTTCGTACAGTAGATAAAGTTTTCCGTGTTGTTAGGAACAGTCAGAGGCTACTGACTACTGAAGATTTGTGCTATCATGACCCTGATTCGGATTTTAACGATGCACAGTTATTATACACTCGACGTGGTATTCCAAATGGTGACCTTGTTCTTATAAACGACACCTCCAAAAAACTCTTCCAGTTCCACCAAGAAGACCTTGAGCAAAAGCGTGTCCTCTTCACTCATCAAGGCGCTGACAGTGCTAGGTTCGTATTGTTCGTAACCGACGGCAAGCATTACACTTCTTCGCTGCTTGAGGTATATGCCTCAGACCCTTACATCCAAATAGCCAACAACACTGGGCTTTTGGTACAGAAGGGACAAGGAAGGTCTCTGACAGCAGCCAATCTCAGTGTCACTACAAACCACTTTATTAAAGAGGAAACTGAGATTGTGTACAGATTGTTTTTGTCTCCCAAACACGGAGGACTGTATTTGAATGACGTCATTGTGGAATCTTTCACTCAGCATGACTTGAAGAATGGTCATGTAGTGTATCAGCATGATAACAGCAACAATCTTTTGGATGAGTTCAATTTCACTGTGAGAGTGAAGAATGTGCTGCTGGATGGAGGTGTCAGCATTCGTATTTACTTGGAAAGTCATCAGCATCCCCCAAGTATCGTCAACAACAGCAGTATACTGGTTGAGGAGGGGAAGCCTGTGAAAATCAGCCAAAACAACCTTCAGGTAAAATTAATCCAACTCCTACGGCCACTTTTGAATTGAGTATAACCTTCTCCGTATAACCCAACTAATCAATATCTGTCTGACTGTGTTTTCCAAACAGTTATTAGTATTAAAGCAACACTCCAGGGAACAGCTTTGAACAATTGAGTTGTTGTTCCGATGGAAGTGGCAAGTTCTGATTCCTGACATGATCTGTCCTTGAGCCCTCAGCCTTGTGTAATCTAGTTCTGATCTCCCACTTTGCTATTTAGTACCAAAATATTGCAGTTGCAGAGTGAAGTATCCCATAAGATCATAAGATATAGGAGCAGGAGTAGGCCATTTGGCCCTCGAGCCTATCCCGCCATTTAATAAGATCATGAATGATCTTCTAACCTAATTCAATTTACCTGCCCTATCCCCATAACCCTGAATCCCTCTATCCTTTAGAAATCTATCAACCTCAGTCTTGAATATGTTCAAGAACTGAGCATCCACAGATTTCTGCGGTAGAGAATTCCACAAATTCACTACCCTCTGAGTGAAGAAACGTTTCCTCAACTCAGTTCAAAAAGGCTGACCCTTAATCTTGAGACTATGACCCCTAGTTAGATTAGATTCTCCAACCAGGGGAAACAGTCTCACGGAATCTACCCTGTCAAGACCCTTAAGAATCTTATAGGTTTCCATAAGATCACCTCTAATTCTTCTATATTCTAGAGAATATACAACAACAAAATTACATTTATAGAGCGCCTTTCACGGCGGGAGGATGTCCCAAAGCGCTGAACAGTCAGGTGTCAGGGCCCGAGCATGGGGGCCTAGTTTATTAGTTTATTCAACCTATCCTCATAGGTCAACTCCCTCATCCCAGGAACCAACCTAGTGAATGTTGAGCTGCACCCCCTCTAAGGTGAGTATGTCCTTTCTTAAATAAGGAGACCAAAACTGCCCACAATATTCTAGGTGCGGTCTCACCAAGGCCTTATACAAGTGCAGTAAGACTTCCCTACTCTTGTATTCTAACCCTTTTGCAATGAACGCCAATATGCCATTAGCCTTCCTAGTTGCTTGCTGTACCTGCACACTAACTTTTTGTGACTGGTGTGATTTTTGTGATAGTCATTGGGATATTACAGTACAGCTGGCTTTGCCTGCTATATAGTGAATAACTATGGTTTTAGTATCCACAAGTTAGGAAGGTTGTACTCATTTGTGAATCAATGTTTTATTGGTGATTTGAATCTTTTTTTCAGTTAAATGAATGTTGTGATATAAATCCATAAGCGATAAGCCTAATATTTAATGCAGCAATGTGGTAGCAATCAAGCTACCGGCCCATCTCCAACCTCCCCTTCCTGTCCAAACTCCTGGAACGAGTTGTCGCCTCCCAGCTGCGCTCTTTCCTCTCCACCCATTCATTATTCGAACCCCTTCAGTCGGGTTTCCGTGCTGCCCATAGCACAGAAACTGCCCTGGTCAAGGTCACCAATGACATCTCGATCATCTGTGACCAGGGGTCCCTCTGCCTCCTCGTCCTCCTCGACCTATTGGCCGCATTCGATACGGTCGACCATGCTATCCTACTCCACCGCTTATCCTCCCACCTCAACCTTCAAGGCCCTGTCCTTGAGTGGTTTAGGTCGTCTCCCACCGTCTTCAATTTGTTTCCACGAACGTTTTTTCCTCCGGCCCCCCCACTGTCTCGTGCGGTGTCCCTCAGGGCTCTGTCCTCGGTCCCCTCCTCTTCACCCTCTATATGCTTCCCCTTGGTGACATCATCCGCAGACATGGGGTTAACTTCCACATGTATGCGGATGACACCCAACTCTACCTTTCCTCCTCTACCCTCAACTCCACGACCACCGATGTCCTGACAGCTGCCTGTCCGACATCGAGTCCTGGACGAGAGACAACTTTCTTCAGCTCAACGTGCGTAAAACTGAGGCCCTCCTGATTGGCTCACGTCAGCGCCTCCGCACCTCAGGCGCTGACAGCATCAGCATCCAAGGCTGCACTCTCCACCTCTCAAAGCCAGTCAGGAACCTCGGTGTTCTGTTCGACCCTGAGCTGTCCTTTCTCCCTCATATCCGCGCCACAACTGGCACCGCCTTCCATCACCTCCGGAATATCGCCAGACTACGGCACTACCTCACCCCTCACGCTGCTGAAACTCTGGTTCACGCCTTTATCACCTCAAGGCTGGACTATGGGAACTCTCTCCTCGCCGGCCTTCCCGGCACCTCCCTCCACAAGCTGCAGGTCATTCAGAACTCTGCAGCTCGTGTACTGTCCCGCACCAGGCTTCGGGACCACATCACTCCCACCCTCGCTCGCCTCCACTGGCTCCCCATCCCCCAGAGGATCGAATTCAAGATCCTCATCCTCACCTACAAGGCCATTCACGGCCTTGCTCCCTCCTACCTCTCTGACCTACTATCCCCCTACCTCCCTGCCCGTATCCTCCGTTCCTCTGGCTCCGGTCTGCTCTACATCCCCCGCCCTAACTGCCCTACCATCGGTGGCCGGGCCTTCAGCCTCTCAGCCCCCAGGCTCTGGAACTCTATACCCAGTGCCTTCGCCGCCTCCTCCCTTTCCTCCTTCAAGGCCGGTCTCAAGACCTTTCTCTTTGACCGTGCCTTCAGCTCCCCTCTCGACTCTCTACTCCCTCCTCGCTCCCTCCCTCACCCTGACCATTTCCCCCCAAAGCTCGGGTCCTGACCCAACTGTACAGCGCCTTGGGACGTCCTCCCGACGTGAAAGGCGCTCTATAAATGGAACCTTGTTGATGTTGTTGTTGTGGTCATTCTTTTAAAAAAAGTATTTTTACAGACAGTATGGATTATTTGGTGGATTATTTCAACTGTATTAGCAAAACAAATTATTACTGAAATAAGCAACCGTGTGTAATACGGCATTATACAATATGCCTTAAACCACTATCCAACAATCTTATCTGGCTGTGGGGCCATGGTGATATCCTGCCCTCGGCAGGCACTTGCTTGCTCAATATCCCGTGCCCAGCCCTGAATGAGTCTGTTCTACTTTGGTTATTTTCCCTCCCCCACTCTCCGCCAATCCATCCTCCAGCTCATGTGCAAACACTCGACTGTCCAGTACCTTAGGATGTCCCCCTGATTTGAAAGTGCTCCACCAATGCAATTTGGTGTTTCTGACTGTGGCAGTTTCCATCATTTGGAGGCAAGTCCCAAGTCTGTATTAGGCGGGGATATCCAATCCAATCGGGTTGCCCACACCACAGAAACAGCCCTGGTCAAAGTGACAAATGACACTCTGCCCATCTGTAACCAGGGCTCCCTCTACCTCCTCGTCCTCCTTAACCTCTCTGCTGCTTTCGACACCGTCGACAACACTGTCCTCATCCACTGCCTCTCCTCTCACCTCAACCTCCACGGCTCTGTCCTTGACTGGTTCAGATCATACCTCTCACACCACCTTCACTTCATCTCCACTAGCCCTCGGACCGTCTCGTGTGGCGTTCCTCAGGGCTCTGTCCTTGATCCCCTCCTCACCAATATCTATATGCTCCCTCTTGATGACATCATCCACAGACATGGGATCAACTTCCATATGTATGCAGATAACACCCAACTCTATCTCTCTGCCTCCCCCCTTGACTCCAGGATCTCTGCAGTCTTGACTGGATGTCTGTCAGACATCAAGTCCTGGATGAGAGCTAACTTTTGAACTTCAACAAGACAGAGGCTCTCCTGATTGGCTCCTGTCAGCGCCTCCTCAACTCAGGCGTTGACAGCATCACCATCCATGGTTGCACACTCCACCTTACTAAGCCAGTCCGGAACCTTACCTATCCTTTCTATCCCACATCTGCGCTATGACCCGCTCTGCCTTCCTCCACCTCCGCAACGTCGCCTGGCTCTGTCACTGTCTCACACCACAGGCCGACAAAACCCTCATACATGTCTTCATTACATCGAGGCTCGACTATGCAAACTCACTGCTTGTGACCTCCCCAACTCCTCCCTCCACAGGCTGCAGATCATCCAGAACTCTGCAGCCCTTGTCCTCTCCTGCACTAGGCTCCACGACCCTATCACCCCCATCCTTGTCCAACTCCACTGGCTTCCCATCACACAGAGGATACAGTTCAAGATCCTGGTCCTCAACTTTAAAGCCCTCCATGGTCTTGCTCCCCTACCATTCTGCTCGCTCCCTCCGCCCAGCAGGCTCCAGCCTGCTTCACATCCCCTGCCTCGCTCACCCCACTATTGGCAGGCGGGCCCTGCCACTCTGACCACCCCTCTGGAACTCCATCCCGCGGTCCCTCCGTCTCGCCACCTTCAAGACTCACCTCAAGACCCTCCTCTTCGACCATGCTTTTGAACTCCCTGTTTTCCCCCCTGCCTTCTACTCACCCCGACCCCAACCCCCAGCTTGGGTCCGTAACTCTGTCTGTCCAGCGCCTTGGGATGTCCTCCCGATGTGAAAGGCGCTTTACAAATGTAATTTTTTTGTTGTTGTTATCATCTTATAACTAAAGGACATTTTATGCAATATAAAGGGCATGCGGAAGGCAGGGGAATAGAACTAAGTAGCTCATTTAGAAAGCCAGTATGAGGCACAATCTCCTGAAAATTGCTATGGTTCCATATCATCCACGGGCTTATACAGTGGGCGATGCTGGATGAAGGGGGATGGGTCTGCTTCTTTCCAAGCCTTCAGTGATGCCAAAAATCTGAATGTTATTTTTCTGCCCTTCAATTCTTGCGCTGCATCTGTTTTGGTTGTGGCTCTATTCCATTAAGTAAGGTATTTGGACTCTTCGTTTTGCAAGGTTTAGGTGGTACTCAACTGAGCAAGTATAAGCAAGTGTCCAGGTTAATGTTCTGATCCAGTATTTAAAGTGTGGTGCTGGGGGAAGAGCGGGAGGAAGAGAATCATGCATTTTTAGTAAGGTGCCTGGAGCAAAGACTTCTGCATTCAAACAGTGTATTTACCTGTATTTGTTTTGCTTAATGGGAATGCGCGTGGGGAGAAAACGGGTTTGAGCTCTCTTTTTGAGCTGTTACTGATGTGGGGGAGGGGGAAAAGGGAGAGACAGAAAACAGTGCTGGTATTGAATGTTGTGAGTGTGGAGTGAAAGGAATGCTTTGTAGCTAGAGAGCAGTGTTGTCATAAGATATATTAAATGTGTTGGGCTCAACACACTGCAACCAATCTAACAGTCCCATCCTTGCCCAACTCCACTGGTTTCCCATCACATAGAGGATACAGTTCAAGATCCTGGTCCTCACCTTCAAAGACCTCTACGGTCTTGCTCCCCCCTACCTCTGCGACCTCCTAACCCCCTACCACCCTGTTTGCTCCCTCCGCTCAGCGGGCTCCGGCCTGCTTCACATACCCCGCCTTGCTCGCTCCACTATCGGCGAGTGGGCCTTCCGCCACTCTGCACCCACCCTCTGGAACTCTATCCCGCAGTCCCTCCGTCTCGCCTTCTCCCTCGCCACCTTCAAGACCCACCTCAAGACCCTTCTCTTTGAGCATGCTTTTGATCTCCCTGCTTCCTCCTTGCCCTCCACCGCCCTCACCCCGACTCTCAGCTCAGGTCCGTAACTCTGTCTCTCCAGCGCCTTGGGACGTTCTCCCGACATGAAAGGTGCTATACAAATGTAGTTTTGTTGTTGTTGTAGCACGGGGCACTGTGGACAACCTTACTCTTAACCTGAAATACAACACAACGCATCTCAGCCAATCCTTCATAATAATAATAATCCTTGAATTTGATATAGCGCTTTTCATGTCGGGAGAACGTCCCAAAGCGCTTCACAGAATACACTGTAAAGTGAATTGACTGTATATTTGTGGGCGAACGCGGCAGCCAATTGCGCACAGCAATGTCCCACAAACAGTCGTAGATTGAAAATGACCAATTTATTATTGTTTTTGGTTTTGGAGGGATTATTATTAGGCGTGTGGAGTAAGGAAACTTGCCCAAGGTTTCGCCCTGCCTGGAATTGAACTCAGGTCTCTCACTTGCAAAGCGAGTGCTCTAACCACTGAGCTACAGGACTCCAAACTACAAACAGCTCTGCATGTCATCCAACACATAAGATGCACATGACATTCAATGCTGTGTGCACCCTCAACAATGCTACTGGTAACCCTATACACTTTGGGAACAATCTGGTGAATTGGCTGTTATTGATCATGTTCCAGGTGGAGCATGGATTGAATGAGCCTGATGTGATAACAAAGCAAAGGATTTTAGGGTCACATTTGCCCAGGAAAGGAGCCTGTGTATGGGGAATTCAGGCTAATTACCAATTCCTCAGGCAAGTTTTCCATAAGCCAGGAAGCAAGCAAGCATTCTATGCCTCCCAGTCGGGAGTTAGGTTAAGGCAGCAAACTGTTGAGTTGACAGCATCCAGCTCTAGAAATTGGCAGTGTGTCTGATGTAGGCAGACATTTCAAACAACTCAAATATGGTATGTACAAAACTGCACAGACTGGTCACAAAACATAAGGTCTGTGGAATTAATTTTAAAGCACAAATGAGAATCAACTGTAAGTTAATCTCCCTTTACCGAAAGGCTTTTAAAAATCCTATTTTCTCTCTTTGATTCCAGAGATCACATATGTTCGGCAGCTATGGATAATTTTGTTTTATGCATTAATTTTCATAAATATTCTTGATGATAAACATGTGATGACATTGACAATGATATTGTAATGCAACAAATAGCTTACTAACCTTTTTCTAATGCAGTTTTATAGCGTCTACAAAACACAAATGCCTGAGGTTAAAATCTCTCATGTTAAGCCACTAGAATTTGATGTGGTTCTGCAATGTTTCTAAGAGATGGCCTGACAAGATGGATTTAACCTCAGGCATATATATATATGTACAGTATTTCTATTTTTTAGGAAGTATGGAGCATTTATCGTCCACAAGGTGGTGTCCGATTCCACTTTGTTATACACATGTAAAAAATGCTGGTTGTAATTTAGTTGGTAGTCTTTCCCATTCATGATAAGCTGAGCCAATAGAAAAGTGTGGAAATATTTGCCAAAAATTGCAGGGCATTTGGCAAATTTTCCAGAAATTGCGGGGTTGTTGATTGGTGTTATTGAGAGACACGTTTTGTGAAACAACCCGGATTATAACTGTAGGCATATATTTCCTGAATATGTAGTTGTCTTTAAAATACTAAAAATGTTACTTTGAATAGTACAGCACGTAACAAGAATTTGTCGTACGAGCTCAGTTTAGGCCGCGGGTATCAGTCGAAGCCGATTTCCTGCTCATGGCACTTCCACGATCCCAAAACTCCCTGGAGCTGCTTCGCACACAGTAGCAACGTGGAGCAAACAGCGCACAGAGGCCCAGGCCCAGCACAATGTGTATAAGTTTATAGTGAAAAGGGGTGTTTGTAGAGTGTTTTTAGCGGAGGAGGTAGTTTGCAGCCGCACTTTTCTATCGGCCCAGATCGATAAGGTCCTAAGTGCAGCACAGTGCATTGTCCTAAAAAGTGTAAAAGCTTCTCATTTTCCCTTTGTATTGGAGGGGGTTTGAGATGCAGTTCCAGAGAACACCCCACCACTCTCCATTCTTTAGTCTTTCTGACTTGTTTTCTCTCTCCCCACTTGCAAAGCCCTCTTTACCTCTTTTTGATTTCACTTTAGGTCATTGTTTCTCTACCTACCACCCTCTTTAGCTCCCTCCTCCCCAGTGTCAAACCAGCTGTGTAAAGCCCACATTGGGACTTTGAACCTACACTGTACTCAGACACTCCAATGATGTGCTCAGGGTGCATTGTTGGAAGTTTCACCCTTCAGACTAGATGCACCTGATCAGGCATCAATTCAGTTTCACATCAGTTTACAAAAAGCACCAGTGGACCACTTTCAATCTTCCAAGGCCAAAAAAAAGCCATTTGTCCATTCTGCTTCTCCCTCCCCTCACCCTGACCATTCTCCCCCCAATGCTCGGGTCCTAACCTAACTGTACAGCGCCTTGGGACGTCCTCCCGACGTGAAAGGCGCTCAATAAATGGAATCTTGTTGTTGTTGTTGTTGTTGTTGTTGCTTCTGAGACAGAGTGCTTCTGATGGTTGCTTGGCCTCTGTGCTCTGAAACAGCACTCTGCACTCTGAGATGCTGCCCTGCATGAGGGGCACTACCCTGTGTGAGGGGCGCTATACAAATGCAAGGTGTTGTTGTAAACCATACCAACAAGAAAGCTTATACTGAGTTAGCTGATGTCAGCTGGGGCCGCAGTTGGAGTACTGCAATTGGCCTAGACTAGGGAGGAGAAAAGTCATCTGGGGATCATGTTTCCTGATCGCTCCTGATTGAGTAACTCCTGATGGAAACGACATGCCTGTGTGGATAACAGTTGAAGGCAGGATCAGATTTGTCTCTGATACATGTGCCTCCGTAGTCACGGAGTCTTCTGACACTCACTGTCTAGACAGCTGTATGAAAACTGGCAACTTGGTAGGCGGACAGATGGCAAAAATACTGGCTACGGAGTTCTGAATAAGGCTTGTGGAGAGTCGAGCAAGGGATAAGGCGAGGAGAGTATTAGAAAAGTAAAGTCTGGAGGTGAATGAAGGTTGCAGCTGCAACAGGAGATAGGGTAAGGGTGGGCGATACCGTGGATGGGGTAATGACTGCACAAAAGGTTGAAAGGAGAGCTGAGGGGGAACAAAATGCCAATGATCGCTTTTCTGGGGGTAATAATCCCTGCCCCCCAGAAAATATACTAATGATTTGGTCACTCAATCCCGGAAATTTGTGGGACACTGCTGTGCACAATTGGCTGCCACGTTTCACCCACAAAATATAGTCAATTCACTTTACAGATTATTCTGTGAAGGGCTTTGAGAAGTCGCGAATATGTGATAAGGAGCTTTATCAAATGCAAGGATTATTATTATTAATATTGTGCACAGACTCTGACTCTGAGTGAGCAGCAGCGGAGGTTGATACACATTCGGAGACGTGAAAGGGGTTGATGCTGATTGGAGCTGTAAGCAGGTTTATAAAGCTTCTGTTTTCTCAACATTCAGTTGAAGGAAGTTATATCAGTATATGGGAAGCATGGTTTAACTGTTATGGATGGGCTTGTTTAGTTTAGGGCAATTAGTGTCTGGAATTGGAGGGATATCTGGGAATCCAATATTTCCTTTAGTCTTAGACTGTAAAACCATTAAGTCCTAAAATGTAAAATTGTGGAAAACTTCTTAATTCAGTAGTTAGTTCTTGGTAAGAAAAGTGGCTTTCAAATTAAGACTAAATCTAAAAACTTTCCAAAACTCTGCACTATCTTAAACTTTAAAATGGTCTTCCATGCTAAGACAAGGTAGAATTTCGAGCCATCTAAATTTTACGCAAAATATTTGACCATGAATTGGCAAGCTTTTCAGATCTATAATCACTTGTTTTGTCATTTTAGATTGTACATCAAGATAATCTGCCAACAGAAATAGTTTACAAAGTGAAGATTGCACCATCTCATGGCTACATCCGTATCTGTGTTGAAGAAGAGGGGTACTGTACTGGAGCAGAACATAAATCGATCCAGGCCTTTACACAACAGGATATCAATGATGGAAGCGTGCAATATGTGCAAGTCAAAGCGAACAAGCTGAAGGACAGTTTTACTGCGGATGTGACTAATGGAGTGGTAAAACTGACTGGTATCTCAGTCCTAATTGATATAATTCCCAGGGTAATCCCAATCCAAATCCAGAACTTTACCATCAAGGAAGGTGCTGCTAAGGCCCTGACAGAGAACATCATTAAAATCTCAAGTCAACATTTTGCCGGCCTTAATTTGGAATACTCCATCATAGAACAACCAAAACATGGATATGTAGAGAACTCGCACTTCCCTGGAATATCACTTGTGTCATTTACCAGGCAGCAGGTATTGTCACAACATTGTTTCTGATCAGTTGTTTGTACTACAGTAGAGTCAGCGGATGTTTGTACTGTATAGGGTGAACTCTGTTTTTAAGCACATCACTAGAGTGCAGATTCACTTATAACATGGGTTCCTCCATAGACCCGACGGTTACCAGATGTACGGTTTGTGGACTACCTGGCTTCCTGTGCTAAAGAATGCTGGTCATCAAGTCACTGCTGACTTTGCTTTCTGAAATGATGTCAGCCACCACTTGCGCACAGTACGCATACTCAGTATGCAGGAAGTGACAATAGCAGTGCTTCCTGCAAGCACAACAAGTTGTAACAGTCGCAACCTGACAACCTGGAAGTTGGCCTTTTTTTATGCTTGTTTAAGAACAGCAACAAGATTACATTAATGCAGGCACTGGGGATATTGGACAATTGGCTACAACAGGGTTCCTCTGTTTTTAATGATCTCTGGCGTTTTTCTCATGAGCTTGCTTAATATTTCTTTTTAACATAATATTAGTAAAGAGAATTGCAATTTAAACAATTTTGAGAGAAATTCATCTTTATCTTCCAACTGAAAGATGTTGCCTCTAGCTTTCTACGGCACCTCAATAAGCAGCTCAGATTTAAGAAGCTGAACATGATGGTAGAAACACTGATTTTGTGCTGCTCATTTTATTTATTTCTTTGTCTATTAGGTTGAGCAGGAATTTATTTACTATGTTCATGATGACAGCGAGACTCTCTCAGACAACTTCTCCATCATAGTCAACGATACAACTCTAAGAAAGCAGAGTCTGCTCAGGACTATTTTTGTCAATATTACTTCGCTGAATGACGAGGCTCCAGTCATAACCACAAACAAAATATTTCAGGTATGTTGAGCAAGCTTCTTATATATTTTATTAACCACTTCAAGTGTATTTTAAGCACTCCGACATGCTACCTGTGGGGGGAACAATATAAATGCAAGTTGTTGTATTTTATAGGCAAATGCAGCACCCATTTGCTCCAGCAAAGTGTCACAAACAACCATAAGGTGAACTTCCTAGACATTCCTTCCTTTTTACCTCACTATCTTTGTATGCTAATGGGCCATATGTGCTCATTTTACAAGATAAACAAATACAACAGCAAGCTACTTCCTTCAGTCTTTTTATTGAGTTATGCTGCCCTGTTGGATGGTCATTTGCAAAGCGAAACGATCTTAAGGATTACAGATCCACCAATATGAGGTACACTGTTAATAACTTCATTCTTGGAAGAAATGCTTTTGTTTATAACAGTGCGACTTCCCATTTGATTGCAGTCTCTCTTTGGATGGTCTTTTTGTCACATATAATTCAACAAGATGAAATGAAACTATCAACAACAACAACAACTTGCACTTATATAGCGCCCTCCGCCCAGGGTAGTGCCTCAGAGCGCTTAACAGTGGCGGAGCGTGACTCTTTGAAATGGTAACAAGGCAAGTGATGCAAAAGACCAATTTTTTTTCAAAAATGGAAACCGTATATGCTTAACGAGTCCCTCAATAGAATCTAATTAAAACAAGCTTCTGATTTTTTTTAAAAAATCAATGCTTTTCAAATTTTAATTTTTTTTGCAGTAAGGGAGAAACTATATTCTGCTTGTTTTTCAAATAATTGTTCTTTCACTAATATGCAAGTTTTATAAGTGACTTCTGAAAAGTAACAAACATCTAATTAACTGCATGATGTTCTGAAGTCTGATTAAACTTCACATTTGTTTCCATTCTGGCTACTTATAACTGAAACTAGACATTTTCCAGTTATAATACCACTCCATTACAGGAGCTGGGAAGTTGTAAAACTTATCGTCCTCTCCAGTGCCGGAAAATAAAGGTTTGTACAGGGCTTCCCCAATGACCGATGATAGAAATTTGGAAGGATAATGCTGTTTCTTCTAAGGGGTACTTCTCTCTTCCCCCTTCTCTGCGCCCGCCCTCCCATCCCACACCTATAGTATGTTAAAGAAGGTTGAAATTTTATCAAACGTATAACCTAAAGAAAATCCCAACAAGGTAAGCAAAAGTTTGGATTGGACCTTTTTGTCCTGAAAGTTGTGTTTCATTCCATCAAAAATTTTAAACCTAATATTCAAATTGGTCCTTGACCATATTTCGGGCACTATCTGTGTCCTTAATTTCATACTTGGCTGGAAATTGAATCTCAAATTTCCCTTACTCTGTGGTTTCCCTTTTGCTGTTATGGGATTTCTGACCTACAGGTGCAAGTGATCCAGACGCGGAGTCCTGTAGCTCAGTGGTTAGAGCACTCGCTTTGCAAGCGAGAGACCTGAGTTCAATTCCAGGCAGTGCGAAACCTTGGGCAAGTTTCCTTACTCCACACGCCTAATAATAATCCCTCCAAAACCAAAGACAATAATAAATTGGTCATTTTCAATCTACGACTGTTTGTGGGACATTGCTGTGCGCAATTGGCTGCCGCGTTCGCCCACAAATATACAGTCAATTCACTTTACAGTGTGTTTTGTGAAGCGCTTTGGGACGTCCTCTCGACGTGAAAAGCGCTATATCAAATGCAAGGATTATTATTATTATTAACTCAGCACAAATTTCCCTAATTATGCTGTAAGACATTCTGCTTTTAAGTGGTGAATATCTAACCTTAAATGCACAATGATTTAATGTGATTTACTGTGCAGCTTTAATGTCATTTTATTCAGGTATGGGTTGGTTCAGTCACGGAAATAACAAAGGACGATCTGAATGCGGACGATAAAGACTCCTCTCCACAAGAGCTGGTATATTCTGTCACTCCTCCTAGCAATGGGCAGCTTGCTCTAAAGTCATCACCAAACAAGCAAATCTTCAACTTCACCCAGGAACATATAAATAATGAACAGCTTGTCTTTGTACATGCTGGTAAGTGCTCTTTTGTTCAGATGCAAATTACTGTACACATTTTGAAATGTGGAAGGAATTTAATGGAACTTATAGTTTCAGGGAATGGTAAATAATAAGACTAATAATTCTTGCATTTGATACAGTGCCTTATCATGTCTTGGAGACATCTTAAAGTGCTTCACAGAATGTACTGCAAAGTAATTGACTATTTTTTGTGAGTGAACTTGATGCGTTTCCACTATTATTCTAATCGATTAAGTATTTACAGGGATCCATAGAGGATGGAGTCCTATAGCTCAATAGTTAGAGCACTCACCTCACAAGTGAGAGACCTGGGTTCGATTCCTGGCAGGACGAAATGTTGGACAAATTTCCTTACACCACATGCAACGACAACAACAACACGCCTCTGTTTATCTAGCATTAAGTAGGAACCCGGTTGTTAGTTGATTGGTGGATCACTTTTCCGGGGTAATAATTCCTTCAAAAAAAAANTAATAAATTGGTCACTTCAATCCATGACTGTTTGTGAGACACTGCTGTGTGCAATTGGTTGCCGTGTTTCGCCCACAAAATATACAGTCAATTAACTTTACAGTATATTCTGTGAAGCGTTTTGAGACTTCTCAAAGACCTGATAAGACGCTATATCAAATGTAAGGTTTATTATAAATAAACCACGTAGACAGGAGGAAGGCAGATCATCTTTGTTATCAGTAGAATTCACCAAGTATTGGATTGTTCACCCACTAATAAGGATTATTATATTATAATAGGGAACTTGTGCTGGGATTAGATCGTCATGAGACAGATTAGTTTTACCCTACTGTTGATGTGTTGTTGCAATGGTAATGCTGCTATAAAGTGATGGAAGTCTACTCACCAATAATTTGTCTCCATTGATTTATCATTTGGACAGGTTTTCTGGTCCTTTAGTATCTTTCATTGGATTTCTATCCATCTATTTAAAGACAGGCTCTTTGTCTCCGTTTCGTAGATTAACATCTAAACTTTCCTCAGTTTGTTGTGGAAACTGTTGGAGCATATATCACAATTGGTTATACACTTGACAAGACTTGCCTCACCTTCATCACATTTTTCATTGGAAAACTTTTATATCCCAGCTATGTGGAACATGCTTCGTTCAATCCTCCTTGGGCGCAATCCCTAATTGTTCTCATTGTTTGATTGATAACCGTTTGTGCAGAATCTTTCTCTCATGCTGACCCATAATACCTCATTGACTGCTTTTCTTTTCACCAGTTCCTCAGCTCCCCATAGGCTATCTTGACTCATTCTTCACACTTCTGGCTTTTCCTTTTCCATCTCAGCTAATAATAATAATAATCCTTGCATGTGATATTGCGCCTTATCACTTCGTTGAGACGTCTCTCAAAACGCTTCACCGAATATACTGTAAAGTGAATTACTGTATATTTTGTGGGTGAAACTCGGCAGCTGTGTCTCATAAACAGTCGTGTATTGGGTAGACTTTCCGACAAAATGAATATCAAACCCAGAGACTTACACAATTTTTTTTCAATAACTCCCACTTACTGCTGACAGATTTGCACTTATATAACGCCTTTCACACAGAGTAATATCTCGGAGCACTTCAACCTTACTATCTATCTTTTTTATCTGTTCCGATGAATTGACTTCCTGCACAAAAAATTATGAAATGGTATCCTTTATCTTTGACCAAGGATTTCCCTCACCTCTGGTCCTTAATGATCGGTTACCATTGCCCATGCCTCCGCTCATTCTTTCTCCCCTGTGCACGAAAACAGACCTCATCTTGTTGTCACTTTCCATCTCCACAACCTTCTCATGTGCCAGATTATCTTCCATTTCTGGCGCCTATAATATCGCTCAAGCACCAGGACCATCTTCTTTATATTGGAGGAAACAAATTGAGATTGGTTGGCTGTGGAACGTCTTTGCTCTGTCCAAAGGCCTGATATTGACTTCCTTGTGGCCCACTAGTTGAAATCCTCCTCCCACTTTAATCTTCTTATCTCGTGGCATCTATTATTGCTCCAACTCAACACAAACTTTTTTTTTGCTTTTGCCAGTACTTCACCTAAAGGTTTGTTGATAATCTATTGTGATGTGCGCTCCAGCTGTTTTCACAACAAACTAACCACCTCTCTAAGTTACTTTTTAACTTAAGATATTTCACATCATTGGGCACTTAGGGGTTGAAATTCCACAGTTTGGGCGTTGGGATATGCTTAAAGTAGTGAATGCCATTTTAAACCCATGTCCATTTAATGCCAAAGTAAATAATTTCACCACTGGCAGAACTTCTCCCCATTTGTTCCATAATATTGTACCTTTTATTGTTTCCAGAACCCACCACAACACACCTAATTAATGTCTTGAAACCCATTTTCTACCACAAGGTGGAGCTCCATATACATGGTTTGCCAAGGCATTAATGCCTGTAAAATGGTGCTGAGTAATGCAGTGCAGGCAAAATCTAAAATGCCTGAGGATTCATTTGTTGTCAAGTGCTGAAAGAGATAACTACCGAAAACCCGTTCAACTCTTTCTGATCCCATAAATTGTGGAGGAAGCTTTATTGTAGCTCTGCCATTGAAGCAAATCGATGCTATCCTAGCAAATGCAGATTGCATTGAGGCATGCTTTGATTAATCGTAGGATATATTCTGTTGACAACTGGACATTCTCATTCAAATCTGTGGATTACGTTTACAGGCATTTGTTTATGAGCACATTATTGCAAAGCTAAATAGCACCAAAGGAGACTTATCTTGCTTTCAATTTATGCGTCTTGTGTATAAATCAGCTGTTGAGCATGCGCTGTTGTGATGTGAGTTTTTATTGAAAAAGAGGCATTTGCATAGGCATTGATTATTTGGCATTTTGTTTCTAATTTAGAAATTGTTTTTTCTTCATAAAAGAATGGACAGAGATTGTGTCTTGCAGCCAGCGTTCCTAGCCACTGGTAGATTAGATAAGCAAAATATAATTTGCAAAAGGTGTGGCGTTCATCCATTTATTTTGCAGTTATCTCTCAGTGCTCCTGAACCAGTTAAAATTATCTTGCACAATTTGAATAGATTTGCATAACCACCTGCTGATCCCACAGAATAGATCTGAATGTAAAGGACTAAAGCACCAATTTTACACCATCATGTGATGCAAGCCTGTGGTTAGACATGGACTTCAGTACTTCTAAAGGACATGGACAGTCACTGAGAAGGGTTTGATAAAGGGGATGGATTGCTCATCATGGGATGTTCTTGTTAAGAGGTTTCCACAATGTGACACACTGCGGATTAAAATAAGAAATTGTTCAAAAACTGTTCTTTATAACTGTATTTAGGACTAACTTTGCTAGTCTTATTGATGTGAAACCTTGGGTTAATTCAGGCAAATGTCATTCTTCCATGACACCAATACATTTGCAAATATAAAACGTTTAGAAGTTTTAAACTTCATTCATATTTGCATTTTGAGTACAAATCCTTCATTGCTACTACACATCAATTTTTTTTGGGGGGGTTCAGCCATTGACACAGTCTGATACATGCAGAAACCCATCACCATGCTTAAGAGTATCCAAAACAAACTGAGATTTCAATGCTTCCCACCTACAATATGGAAATCCCAAAAATTGTTGGAATGGAATGCACACTCTCCTGGAGAGACGCATCCTGCTTACCTAATTGCAGAAAGTATTAGGCTCAGGTTGGCAAGAGTCAAGGATTGGGGACCCCAGAGTGCGTTAGAGTGGAGTCTAACAGTAAAAACTGCATAGCTTGCTAATAATGTATGTCAGCCTGGCACAGTCGTAGCACTCTCACCTCGATGTCAGGGCTTCTCTTAGAACTTCCTCCCTGCTTTCTCTCCTTCCTGGACATTACCACCTCTGCTAGAGCCTGGGAATGCTTTGCCGGGCTCAATGGCTTCTGTTATTTTACCAATTTTAATTCACTTTGGATCTTTAAAGCAACAGAAAGTCCTGAAACAGTCATTTCATAATAATAATCCTTACATTTGATATAGCGCCTTATCACGTCTTTGAGACGTCTCAAAGCGCTTCACAAAATATACTGTAAAGTGAATTGACTGTATATTTTGTGAGCGAAATGCGGCAGCCAATTGCTCACAGCAGTGTCCCACAAAACAGTCCTGGATGAGTGACCAAATTATTATTAATATTTTGAAGGGATTATTACTGCCGTCAAAGCGATCTGTCAATCAAATAATATCCAGGTTCCTATTTACTGCTAGGTAAACCGAGGCGTGTGGAGTAAGGAAACTTGCCCAATGTTTCACCCTGCCAGTCCTCTTGCTTGCAAGTCGAGTGCTCTTAACTGCTAAACTATAAGACCACACGTGGGATTTTGAAATGAGATTGAAGCTCAAAAGGTGAAAGGAGATTGAGGGATTGTTCTAAGAGGTGAATTAACTGCCCTGGATCACTGTACCACCAAGTCCCTGTGTTTGTTCTTGAAATAACCATGAGCGATAAAATAAGCTACAATAACTGAAAGGAGAGGATATTATTTAATTCATCTGTGGTTTTCCTCATAGTGTAAGTATTTTGTATATTTTTGTTTCTTTATTAAAGAGGAGTCTTCCCACGAGTACCTGCTTTTATAAACAAACTCTGTGCAACTTCAACTTGATTTTTTTAAGCTTTATTTCAAAAGATTGAGCCTTAATAGTACAGTGTCATTGAACACTAATTTCAACAGCATAAGAATTAATAAGACCCAATACCATGTGTACTCAGAGTATTTCAGTTGCATGCATGTTAATTCGTCTTCCCTCATATAGACCTGGTTTAGAAAAAAACATATCTTAATTGTTTTAACTTTTTTAAAAAAAGTTTCTTTACAGTATGATGCTTTTCTGCGCCTGGTTTATGCCCAGTTGAAAGATACTGAATATGTCCATTGTATTTTTGTAGGGGCCATGTCAGGAGGATTTAACTTTCAGGTTACGGATGGACTGAATTTTGCTCCTCGGCAGATCTTCAGCATCACTGCAAGAGCCCTAGTCCTGAGTATCGAGACAAGTCAAGGTTTTGGTGTCTTTCCAGGTAACGTAGTGGTTCTTTAGTTTTTCAATGAGAATTTTTTTTCTTAAAAGTGCTTGACATATGACGCAATCCAGCTACATTAACAAGTTGAATTCTCATAGAAGTCCCTACGTTTGTTTACATTTTGTCTATTGCTTCTTGAACTAACCATAAATTGTACAGATGCAAGGCCAATAGAGTCGTGATAATGGGGGACTTTAATTATCCTAACGTAGACTGGCAAAACAACAGCGCAAAGGGGAAGGAGGGGGAAAGATTTCTAAAATGCATACAGGACAACTTTCTTGTCAGTACATTTCCAGCCCAACAAGGAAGGAAGCAGTGCTGGATCTTGTTCTGGGGAATGAAGTAGGGCAAGTGGAGCAGGTTTCAGTGGGAGAGCATCTGGGCAATAGTGATCACAACATCATTAGATTCAGAGTGCATATGAAAAGGGACAAGGAACCATCAGAGGTAAAGATACTCAACTGGAAGAGGGCTAATTTCAGTGAGTTAAGGGGGTACCTGGCCAAGGCGGACTGGAAAGAAAGATTGGCAGGTAAAACAACTATAGAGCAGTGGGAAGTCTTCAAGGATGAGATAGCTCGGGGACAGAACAAATACATTCCCACAAAAGAGAAAAGTAGGGCATCAAAACCTCCCTGGATGACGAAGGTAATTGTGTCCAGAATGAAGCAGAAAAAGGAGACGTATAACAAATGTCAAACCCAAGATACAGAAGACAACCAAATAGAATATAGGAAGTACAGAAGAGAACTGAAAAAGGAAATAAGAGGGGCAAAAAGATTATATGAAAAAAGGTTAGCAGGTAACATTAAAGGGAATCGTAAAATATTTAACAAACATATCAGGAAAAAAAGGTTAGTCAAAGGTAGGGTGGGGCCAATTAAGAACCAAGGTGGAAATCGTATTGTGGAGGCAGAGGGCATGGCTGATGTACTGAATGAGTACTTTGCATCTGTCTTCACAAAAAAGGTGGATGCACCAAATGCCGCAGTATCGGAGGAGAGGGTAGAGGAAATGGATAGGACATGTATGCATCAATTTCCTTTAAATACATTAGTAATTTCAGCTTCACCCATAGCTTCTGCCAGTGAGTTCCACATTCTCTGTGTAAAGACATTCCTCCTAAACTCCCATTTAGATCTGCTGCTAGCTACCTTAAATTTATGCCCCTTTCCATCAAGTGGAAACAACTTATTGATGCTCACCTTATCAAATCCTTTAAAGACCGCTACCAGATCCCTTCTTAATTACTTCATCGCTAGAAAGAAAGAGGTCTTATTTGGTATCGTGTGCATATCTTCTCAATCCATTGAACAATGTCCTTTCTCTAGTATGGTGACCAGAACGAGACATGGAACTCCAAATGTAGTCCAACCAGGGTTATCTTATATATAAAAATAACAAAAAAAAATTTCCATTGTTTTTGTACTCCATTCTTCTGGTCATAAAGTCATTTGTAATTTTGCATTTCTGCTACTTTTAGTCTTCTAAATTTAAATCCACAAATCTCTTTGCTCCTCTACCCCTCTTAAGTTGCAAACACTAATGTTGTGCCATTTTGGAAGATTTTTACTTTTATGATAGTGGTGCTGGAAGCTATGGCTGATTGTGTTAAACAACATGATGAACACTCAGCCTCACATTTACAGGAAAAAGATAGCTCCAATCAGAAAGCCAGCTAGCTGTTTGCCAGTAAAATCAGCATCAATCTCACTTCAAACATAGTGCAGTGACCTTTTGGAATAACAGTGTATATACTTTTGATCATTGTGAACAAAATATGTTCTTACTTCTTCTGGGAGAGAGCAAAAAATGTAACCCCTCCTTGAGGAGATGGCATCAATGCAGAGCCCAACGGAAATTCACTGATTAATGCTCTAACACCCTTGTGTTATTTAGAGGTGGAGGGAGGGGGTCAAGCAAATGGGATCCTTCCTTAGGCTTGGATTTCTCTCCAAGGAACCCAACAACAACAACAAAGTTACATTTGTAAAGCGTCTTTCACGTCGGGAGGACATCCGAAGGCGCTGGACAGACAAGAGCTTTGGACCCGAGCTGGGGGGTGAAGGGCAGCGAGGGAAGCAGGAGATCGAAAGCATGGTTGAAGAGGAGGGTTTTGAGATGAGTCTTGAAGGAGGCAAGGAAGGACGCGGGGCGGAGCGACAGCGGGATGGAGTTCCAGAGGGTGGGGGCAGAGTGGCAGAAGGCCCTCTCGACAATAGTGGGGCGAGTGATGCGGGGGATGTTCCAGCTGGACTGGCATCATGCCAAGTGAAACATTAATCATAATCTAAAAATTGTACTGACTCCTATTTGGCCAACTGAGATAAGCAGCTTCCTTCTGTGGGAAATCAGGGCTACAAACCACTATGTTGTAATACATCAGAGCTTCTGCATTGTGCTTCCCCTTTCCTTTTTATCTTTATTCATTTTCATTTACAGCGAACTGCTTTCCCTCACAATTATGTGAAATGCCATTATTTAGAAATGTATTAAATTGATTGTGAAATTAATTTTGCTGTAGCCAGTTCTTCAAAATTAAGCTGTTTTTGGGGAAGAATTTTCAGATGCACCACATGTCATTTCATTTTTCCAAACGATAATTTGTATTTGTATACAGAACAAATGACTCTCAGTCAGCCTTAGTGTGTCATTGGCTTTAAAAGTTGAGTGGTTTGCTGGGGAATATCATGTAGCAGCATTTTGTAATGAAATGGGGGTGGGGGGGAATTGCTATTGTGGTAATGTAAAGCAGACAAGCTTGTAGCTCACAACCATGTTTTTTAAAAATAAATGTAATTTTGCCAATAAACAGCAATACGACTGGCATGCGGACTGTTTAATCAAACACACATCAGTCCAGACCTCTTTCTTGTCTGCTACTACAGTACAAATTGATGTGTTTTTCTTTTTAACATTGCATAAGATCTTTCTGCAGCAGACATAGGGTTAGAGCGGTCAACTTCATAGTTTCCACAGCAAGCAACTCCAGACATGAACTTTCCTGAAAAAGTCTTTCTTGAAACTAATAATGTCTCTTTCCGCTCTTTTAAATTTCCTGTTTAACAAGCTCTACATGTTCGCTGGGTTTACAGACTGAAAATCTGTTCAACCTGAACCACATTTTCTGAACAATACCCAAATTGCACACTGAGTTTATGCAGCTACAGCAAAATTAATTTCATAACATTCATTTCTAAATAATGGCATTTTTGCAATATTGTGAGGGAATGCGGTTTGCTATAAAACACTTAATTGTTGCCCGCTCTATGTACTTGTTCCAGTCATTCAAACATATGGAACCAGATTGGTTCTCTTTTTTTTTCCTAAGAGAACTAATTTAAAAATTTCATTGCAATAGTAAATGAAGCATTTAGATATACAGTTTCTAATGTAATGTAGCCTAGAGCACTGCAGGTGTGCTTGCACTTTCCTGGAAAATTTTACATGCTGAAGTGATTTTTTTTAATGTAACTGCAATTCAAGAGCTTGAAATAAATCTTTAAAAGGCCTTTAGATAGATACTAGAAGAGGAGAATTATTAAAAAGCACAAGAGAAAGCAGAAGATTGCAATACATTTGATAGCTCATGGAGAAAAATACAAGCACAGATTCAATGGCCCAAATGGCCTGTTTATGTGTTATACCTTTAAAACTGAGGACTTAGTCCTCTACTTCGCCCCCCCCTTGTCTCCTTCAAGATCCGTCTCAAGACCCTCCTCTTCGACTGTGCCTTTGGCCACCCTCCTACCCCTGCCCTCCCTCCACCCCTCCTGATTCCAACCACCAGCTCGGATGCGGATCCCTGACTATCCTGCGCCATGGGACGTCCTCCTGACTCGAAAGGCGCTGTACAAATGTAATTTGTGGTTATTGTTATCCTCTGGGACACATTGTAAAATATATTCTTTTCTGTGTTCACTTTTCTTCCCCCCCCCCCCCCCACTCCTTTTTTTCGCTACGCAAAAAGACATGTGTTAAGCTCATCCATTTCAACTCTGGAAGATACAGCTGGCAGATGGCCCATTGGGTGCTGGTATGGCGCTGTCGTGGAAGATTTCAGGTTCAGTTCCCAATTTATATGGGAGGTGTTCTTTTGTTCGTAGGTCAAAAACTTGTAGGTCAACTAGCTAGCAATAATAATATTTTTTGCATTTTCTTCCTCCTCATTTTTCTTCACTACTTGTGCTTTCTTACTGAATTTAAACAGGTTTTGCTCCCCCGGCCACTCCCTTCACACAGCAAACACTGGCCTGCATCCTATATGTCTTACCATCGACGAACGGACTTTCAGCCGTTCAATCCCTGCTCTGGAACTCCATCCTGGAGTCCCTCCAACTTGCTTGCTTCCTTTCCTTGTTCAAGGCACATACCTCTTTGAGTTTGTGACTCCTTTCACCTTTAGTTCAACTTAAATTGGGAATATTTAGAATATTAGTTATAGAAGTGCCTTTTTTTTAAAACAAGCTTGCTCCTCCAAAATGTTAAACTGCATGTAGGGTATATCAATGTGGAAAGCAAGTTGAGTAATTAAAACCTGAATTAACAACAAATGTGCCTTAATAATTCTTGGGAGTTTCCTCCTGGTCAGTAAAATTACCAGCGTTGTCATTGTGAACATAATACAGCAACAATAATTTACATTTAAACCCCCCTTTTCAGGGTGGGAGGACATCTCAACGCACTTCATACAGTAGATTGGGTTGTACGGTAGGTGTCTGAAAGTGCAGGTGAAAAGATAGGTCTAAAAGAGGAAGGAGGGGCTGAGGTGTTCTCTACTTTAGGAGTAATTTAATAATCTTCGTGACATGCACTTTCTGAAAGCGCACACTGGCAAGATGAAGTAATTTACCAATGGCCAGAGAATAAAGAGCATGAAATGCCAAATTTGGTAAATTTACTGGTGAATAACCTTACATCAATTGCTCTAATTTTCAGACCACTTCAGTTCAGTTTTAAAAAAAAAGCTCATGTCTGCGTCATCAAGTCACTGT